CATTCAATATATATATATATATATATATATATATATATATATATATATATATATATATATATATATATTAAATTAACGTGCTTAAAGACTTATACAACATATTATCAATAATAACATTTTCTAAAGAATACAAATTTTATTCTTTTAAAAATCGCTAATTACATTAATTCGTAAAGAATAAGACTATAAACAATTATTACATTAATTCTGACGAAAATCTAAGTTATAATGGTTTAAGAATTACATTTAATCTTAAAGATTAAAACTAAATATAGTTACAAAAAAACATCAAAATCTAACAAAAACACTAATCCATTCTGAAAGAATGTTACTGTTAAGAAACACATTATACATTGTGGCAAAATACATCCTGGTAGTACACTCTCGTTATCTATGTTTTCTTCTTTTTCCACTTCAAAACCGAAATCCACAAAGAAAAAATAATCAACTTTCAAATATTAAAAAATTCATTACATTCTAAGAGAATAAAAACTATAAATTCTGACAGAATGTAGTAGAAACTATAAAATCTGACAAATTATAATAGAGAATAAAAACTACAAATTTTGACAGAATGTTGTAGACATTAAAGAATTATAATTTATTCCAATAGAATGTAATCCTAAAACTGCAATGAGAATAGTCGCCATAAAGTCGAATACCATTATGTGAGAATGCTTTTATATGACAAATAATAAAACAAACTTTTGTAATGTTGGAGGAATGAGGGTTTATGTTGGAGATCTGGATACCCCTTGGATCGTGTGAATATTTTCCGAACTGATATTTCTACCCTATGTCTGGGTTGCAAGAAATTCAGCCTAGAATAATCCAAGATGACACTTACGAATCCAAACACATAAATCGTAAGCCAAATTGCTAGAAGGATCCTATGTTCGTTTGAAGAAAAGAGAGCTAATGGTTGCGTCCCTCTTCTCAAAGAGAAGAGCCGTTTATATAATAAACTAGATTTAGGGTTTGCGTCTTAGCGTTGGCCGTCATGGGTTGCTTTGGAAGCAATCCAGGGAAATCCGGAAATTAATGAGGAAATCAAGGGTTTCCAAAACTGATGAATTTCGTCAGTTTTTCCATAATCACCCTCAATAATTCGATTTTCCCACTATGTTCCCAGCCAGGGGCTCTGCCCCTTGCACCCTGCTAGGGGCGTTGCCCATTTGGAAACCCTGGACCCAGGGGTGCTGCCCCCGGACCCCGACTTATCGTCGAACTGGCTTCTAATTCGATCTTATACATGCATGCACTCCGCACACACCCGTACACATATTAGAGTACAAATTATGAAACCCCTTAGCTCATATGTTAGATCAAATGACATGGTGACACTAAAATCACCAACATATAATTTCAACAGAATGCATACCACATGGTCAGATTCTAACCACCTATAAATTACAATCAACAAGCTAAAGCACTATAAAATAACATC